AACTTATCGACCGTTTGTTTTTGTCCCAACATATGAGCTATGTGGCTAGTACAGACGCATCAGAGTGCATCGAAAACGATTCCATTCTGTCACTTTTAACAGACTTCAAAAACCTTCACATGTTTTGATACAAAACTTTAAAAATAAAGCCGGTGATATTTGTCATCACATGGGTACTCCGAGCATTATATGATATTTCCTGACGGAGTCTTAGGAAGATTCTCTTTGATGTCATAAAAAGACTGAAAAATTAGTCTTGCATGATGTAGCCAGGTACGATCTCTATTAGGAGTACTTCTCATACTGATCACTAATCTCTGAAAATTTAGCCTAAATGGATGATTCTTATTGAAAACTCTATTATGAGAAGAGATTCTTAAAATAAGTTAATTTACTGGTTCATTTTGTTCGAGATGAATAAGTTCATAATATCCAATTTTTGATAAATTGATAACAGCATCTTCGGGATTAGTTCTACTATTTGATGTTAGTATAATAGGTTTTTTAGCTGTTTCGAGTAATTTTTTTAAACATGACCAAAAGTTATCATCTGTTGTTAATGTTTCGATCTAATAGGAAAAAAAACAGTAACAAGAGATATTGTTATTTTTGTTTGTTTTGAAAATAAACCTCATCGAAAAGAATTAGAGATGCTTTTTCAACGTGAACAGATGAAATAAATTGATTATTTGTTGTAATCACTGGTTTTTCTTCTTGTTTGGTTTTACTTCGTCTTTTTATAATATTAATTTCATTAGTTAATTTTTTCGATTCTTTTTTATCGGATACAATTGATTTTGATTGATAATGAGAATTATTTTCTTTTTGTTCGTCATTATTATGAACAGATTTTTTCGGTTGATTAAAATAAGACATTATTGAACCACGTTCATTTTTAGCTTTTTTCTTTACAGGTAATGGAGATAACACTTCTTTATTTGTTTTTGATTTCTCTTCTAATAAAAGAACGAAAGAAAAACAAATTTCAAAAATTTTCTTAAAGATTTTTACCTTGTGACATAATCGTATCTGATGAACAACGTTTAAACGATAGTTGATGATGATTTGTTACTTGTTCAAGTTGCTTAAGTAAAGGTGCACGGGCTCGTGATTGTGATCCATTAATTTCTGTTATCTACGATATATAAAAAAATAAATCAATGAAAATTCTATAGTTTGTTACTTAATGCAAAAAAAAAATAAGAATTTTTCATGAAATATAAAAATGTACCATCTAGCGTAGTGTGGAAAAGCTCTACAACATACCGTACTCTCGATGAACACGTGATAGAACTATGGCGATCTTGCATTAGTTTCGACTATTTCGATCGGAATGCCGTTTCGAGAAAATAGCTGAAATTTTGTGGTTGAAGAATTCGAATTTCTCGTTCGAGAAAGACTTAATTCTTACGGTTTAGTAATGTTTTATAAAATTCAATTATTTTCTTGAAATAGTGCTCTACCTATGACCGGTAATCACTGACACTCTTGCATCCATAGCTTATGCTACAAATCCACAAGAAGAAGACGAATAACAAAGCATCAACGAAAAGTCTAAATATCTAAAAAGACGACTCTGACGTCTCCAATTATATTTAACACTGGTAGAGCATGATCACATGAAAATTATATGAACGTTATCCTTCCACATGCGCAAGCGGACGGTAAACGACTGTTGAACGACGATTTCATCTCTCAACAAGACAACGCCATGCTACATACGCGCAAGAAACCATTGGCATGATGTAAAGAGAATTTCATGCATTTTATAAACATTCATAGATGACTACTATCAAGCAGTCCTGATCTCAATGTTTTGAATTACTATATATGGGACACTATCTTCAATAATAAGCAATTGGACAACGTTAAAAACTACGGCGCACTGCTCGATGAAATAAGAAAAGAAATTCCTCATGCATAAAAAATTGATCTTGTTTGTATTTTGTTCATTTTGAAAACAAAAAGTATATATATTAACTAAGCTTTTCTTTGTAAAAGATAAAATGCACAACGCGGTCATGCATTATGTTTCACAGGTTACTATTCAAACTGTAGAGAAATCTTGAACATTGATTCTAATCTTACTTTAAAATTGTGTTCTTCAGCAAGTGCATGTACCAATGATGTTGTTCCAAAACCGTGAATAAAAATCAATCGTGGATGTTCTGATTTCGAATGACAAGAATTATCAAATAACGAATCTAAATATGAAAGTTCTAATGTATTATGATTTGCAGGATAATTGAAATTTTATAGCAAGAGTCAACAAAAAAAAACAATGTTTGCTCGTTATACCCAGATATCATTTTAATCTCTCAATGATCTAGACCTTGTCGAGCACAAAATGAAAAAATATAAATTTTTTCTTTTCTTTTATATTGGTTAATAGTATATTTATTCAATCAATTAATTATGTAATTGAATATGAAAGATATATTAACCGAATTTATTCTTTCTTTTTTAAATACATACTTGAATCATTCGAAAAGTTTTCATCGTAATATTCATCATCATCATCTACGAGACGTTTTCGTTTTTTTCGTTGAGCTTTCTTTTTAGGTTGCTCATTATGTAATTTTTTTGTCCAATATGAAAACCATTCGTTTAAACGTTTTATTTGTCTTGTATGGTTTCCAAGATATGTTTTAGAATTTTTTGAACGATAGATTTCAGTCCATAATAATTGTTCATATTGACCTATAGAAGAATATTTGTTATAAAAATGAAAAAAATTCTTTGTTGTGTTTTTAATGTAGAATACCTTGTTCTATGACTTTTTTTCGATAATCTTGTAAACCTTCAAACATTGATTTCCAATTAATTATGGATTCATCATTGGTATATTGATTAAATAATTCAATTTGACGTTCAGTCGATGATATTTTAATAAACTTAGAAAAAAATACGAAAATGATTTCTTTTTGAAAAGTATTGTGAAATTTAAGAAAAATAAAGATTATATTAAACATAAGCAGATCTTCACAGGATATTATGCTTAATTGTCAGTACTCTTTTGAAAAATTACTTTAATAAATCATCAATCAGAGCATTACGTCAAGAGAGCTGACCAAAAAAGTCCTAGTCACTCATTTCTGGCACAGTTTTCGCTAGACCGGGACCCCTAGAAAAAGAACTACGGACACCCAAACCAAAAAACTTGGTCTGGCACATCGCTAGAAGGAAACTAACATGATCGATTCGATCCATTAGAGTTACCTGCGATCAGTTTTTTGTTTGTTTGACTATCTTGAGTAGACTTTCTTCAAATATTTCGTTCCATGGGACTTCAACGTCCGTTAAATATCAAAAAAAATTCTGAGTGCATCTATCATTCCTATTAAATACTAGCAAGTTTTACATAATTTTATTATTGCCAAGTTCACATTTCGGCGAGACAGAAATCTATTGCCTCATCTCATGAGGAACCTTGGTTCAAATACACGATTACCTTCACCTGATTATAGTCTTAGATGTGATTATGAACTCTGGAAAGTTAGAATGTCAAATAAGGTATGGGAAAAAAGTTCGCGACATTTTCTTATCGATATTAATAGAAAAATTTCTAAGAACTTTTTTTTCATATAATATACTAAAAGATGTAGCGTGAAAAGCTCTGCAATTTGCATAAGACCGCTTTTTTTACAGTTGCCCTTTTCCTTTTCAAAATCGTCAAAACTTCAAGCAATCAAATTTCGACCGTGTGAAAACGATATTTTTTTCGGCACAAGATGGACTTATTCATCTTGTGATCCCGTCATATCTTTTATTTAAAAAAAAACAAATACATCACAAGATGCAGCGTGAAAAGCTCTATAATTTACATAGGATCGCTTTTTTACAACTGTACTTTTCGTTTTCAAAATCGACAAAAACTCTGAGCCACCAGATTTCGATGCTGCGAAAAAGTCTTTGTTCAATACACGGCCAATGCGTTTTTTTCCTCTTTACCACCTGAAATCTTTTATTTAAAAAAAAAATATACCAAAAGATGCAGCGTAGAAAGCTCTACAATATATACAGGTAATGAAAAGATAAAATAAGAAAAAAGATAACTTCTCGTTCGTGTTATCTTTTCGCAGCGTCGAAATTTGGTCGTTCGAAGTTTTGACGATTTTGAAAACAAAAAGTGAAACTGTAAAAAAAGCGGTCTTACGCAAATTGTAGAGCTTTTCACGCTGCATCTTTTAGTATATTATATGAAAAAAAAGTTCTTAAAAATTTTTCTATTAATATCGATAAGAAAATGTCGCGAACTTTTTTCCCATACCTTAGAACAATTTAGAAAAAAAAATACCTCAATTTTCGGTAAATGATTTTGATTATTAACTATTGTTGGACAAATTCGGTAAAATTCTTGACTCGAGCAAAATGAATTATCATCATTGAACTTTCTTTCATTAAAACAAGGAATAATATCATTAGATAATGAATTATTTAATTGACGTATATGAATAGGTAAAACAAAGTCGGATTGGCGATTGTCAGATTCTTGGTGTTGACAAGATGTTTTTATTTGAGATTCACATGAATGAATAACTAAATAAGAAAAAAAAATGACATTTACTTATTTACTGTTTTGGTTATTTTACTTGGTGAAGAATTAATTATTGATGATGATGGACGAGATTTTTCAAAACATTGAAGAAGTGTTTTTTGTGTTAATTTCATATTTAAAACACTTAATAAGAATAAACAAAAACGAGCACGAGAAAATTATCTTTATTGTTTGATTAGTTCATCTTGTCTACCAATGATAAAATCTTATTTTTCATACACAAGGAAAAAAAATAACAAACTTTGTCTTTCAAAAATAAATAAATATTTTTAACTTAAGAATAAAATCAAATATTATTTTTTTCTTAAATATAAATAAATAAATTAGTTTTGATTGTAGCGACAAAAAGAAAATATTAATTTTTATATTTAGAGAAAGAAACAAAATTATTATTATTTGTATATCATTACAATAAATTTTTCATCAAACATTATGATCTTTGATGGGAACGAAATCTTCACCGTCTGATATTGTAAGTAGATAAAATTTTTTTCAATTTCATGAGTAAATTTATTCATTTCTTATTTTTTTTGAAGATCAATCTCAAATTAATTCTTGTAAGCGGTCAAACAGCTGAATTTCAATTTCGACCAACAACAACAGCAACTGATGTAGCTAAATATGTTTTTGAAAATTGGCCTGAAGGTTTTTCAAGAGAAAAATAAAAAATTTAATTTCATTGTTTTTATTTATTTCGTTTTTATGAGATTGGGGAAATGAACAAAAAGTAGATCGTTATGAAGTTTTAAGATTAATATATCAAGGAAGATTTTTACATGGAAATGTCACATTAGGCGCTTTACGACTTCAACAAGGTAATCAAGTTTTTAATATTAAAAAAAAATGATTCATTTTATCATTAGGCAAAACAACTGTGATGCATCTTGTCGAACGTGAACATCTTCCTGAATCAACAAATAATGATCAAAAACGAAAACATAAACATGACAATAATCAAGATACAACAACAAATGCCATAACAACAAATGCTGATTCTAATTCAACAACATCTACATGTTGTGCTGCATGTTCAATATTATAAACTCGGTCGAAAATATTTTATGTCAGATGAATATCTTGACTATATTATTTAAACATTCTATTTTAAAAACCAAAAAGAAAAAAGACAATTAATAAACTAAACAACAACCGTCCGTTGTTATGTTTTATGTGTTGCCGGTGGGTTTCTTTTCTTTTTTTTTTTTGTTTAATATATCTTGTATGAATTAATTTAATCGCTTTTTATTTGTTTGATAAATAATATGTATTATGTTTTGCACTTATTTAATGTTGTTGGTTCTTATTATTTATCAAACATACTTGTATACGCACATACATTTCTTCTTTTTTTAAATTATTACATTTTCTTTATTTCGAAATAAATGAAAGACAAAAAAAAAACAATAAAGAAATAATTAATTAAAAATGATTCTTTTTTAATATGAATAAAGAAATCCTATTAGTTGATCTAGAAAATTATTCTCTTTTTTTTTTGTTTTTAACATTCTTTTCTGTTGCTAATAGAAATACGTCATGATGATAAAAGATAAAATTGTCAAGAACAGAGAGAAAGAAACAAGCCACAGTTTTTGCTCACGTCAATCAATTTGTTTTCTTGTCTTATTCTGTTTTAATGAAATTTCTCTAATGTATGATATAAAAGGTTCTGGAAAAAACTGACTTCATTTTTCATTGGCTAAAGAAAGCTTTAGAAAAACTAAGAACATATATTCAGGTTATTTATTAAAAGCTCCATCTAACAATATGGTTCGAAAAAAAAAATTCCATCACGTCTTGTTTTTGAGTACGGAGCAAATCTACGAACGGCACTAAATTATGTTCTGTAAAAAGACGATTTGAAATGGCTGTAGCTCAAGAAATTGATGGCACAATATTTTTGGATTATCTCTTGAGTGTTCGATTGTATTTTGTTGTTCTTTTTTTCCATTAGATTCAGCATTTCATTCTTCACAGATCTGGTAGCGAATAGTACAAGATCGCTTTCGTGAACATGATGAAAACAGTGATGAATCTATTCGTGTCTTATGGATTTGTAATAGTATTGTTTTATGAAAACATGAATTGACGACTATGCAAAATCCAGGATACTGTCGATATATAAATACATCAAAACCCTTGTGTCACTGAACAACAGAAAGGATGAATACGAAACATCGATCTGAAAAAATAGATAGACCTTCGAGTTTAGTTTTTTTTTTCCAGTGTTATCCGAATCGATGCGATAATATTTTCTGCATGGTTTATTAACAATTGAATGAGGAATTCGATAGAGAAAAGATCAATACAATCCAATGGAAGGAACACAAAAAAAAAACGGTTATAGTATCTATTTGGAGCTGTTGGAAAATTTGATTAATACCGAAAAATACGAGGTAATAGAATTTTATTACGCACATTTTTTGGAAAGAGCTTTGAACGTAGATTCTGAATAGATGTTTTCGTTTTTTTTTTCATCAAAAAATGTTTTAGATGATGAAAAAACAAGAACATTCGAAATAATCAAATGATTTTAAGTTGAAGTAGAATTGTTGCTTTTTGTCGCAGGATGCATTTTAATTATAAAGAAGATTTTTGATGATAATCATCTTAAGTCTTGGAAAATAAATAACATCTTTTAATCTCCAAAATATAACAATGTTCTCTTAATAACACATTTTTTTTCGACAGACTTTGTCAGCCTAAGAAAAACAGATCTTATTCAAACTTCGAATCACTTTTATATTTTTCATAGTATATAAGTATGACATTTTCTTCTATTAAAAATGTATATACGCTAGTAGTTTAGGTATAATAAAAAAAAGTTAACAGTACTGTTTTGCTTTAATAAATAATTTATTTGAATTTCGTGAAATCGAAGATGTTTTGAGTAAAAGTAGAAACCTATGTTGATATTAGTAGATGATGACATATACTACGTGGTATCTTATTTCTATTTGTTTAAACAAATGAAAATTGAGCAAAGCTATAATGAGTAGGATAAAATGTTATTGAGACTAATGTAATTATGTTATAAGAGATCGCGTAGACATCTGGATTGTGACCCTATATTGAGAGTCTACGTAGATATGTTTATGACATTTATCTTTTTTTTTTAGAGAACATGAAGTTTGAAATGAAACATACTTCTATTTAACATACTTTTTATACTCCGTTGGAAACGTTCGAATGATTTTAATAATTACTGTTGCCCTACTGGCAAGGAAAACAGGAATTTCGCCACTTGATTTTTGATAACTTGTTTAGTATCCGCAGAACATTTGACAATAACAAGAGTGTTAAAAATTCTGGCAGAACATTAGAAATATTGTTGTAATTGAAGTGACGAAATTCCATAAGATCAACTCGCAAATTTCGACCTTACATTCTAAGTTCACTTTTCTGGATATCGATGTATCTTTCAGTGCAGATTCTGTTGCTTCAACACGTGCGATATTACCAATCTAGTTGCTTCTATTTATTGTCACATGAAGGCAATTTTTTACGAAGAAAACGAATATATTATTGTTTCTTTTTAATTCAAACAACGATTAATATACTATGATCTTTAGGTTTTAAACAAAACCCGCTGTTATTTTATTGTAAATTGATACAAAAAGGTACATCCTATGAATATATGTATTTTTTTTACATATATTTGAATATCTTTATTGTGCATCTGTTTCAAATATCTACGATAGATTTTCAATCAAATTATAGATAGACTTGTAAAGAATTCCAATCATAATCTCATAATAAAAAAAATATTGCAAGTACATGAAAAATAATAAGAGAAATATATAAGAAGAAAAAACCTCACTATGAGTATTGTTGAGCCATCTTTCGAAACTAAAAGTAACCCTACTTTACTAACTCCTATTATTTGAACAAGTCAATCGATAATAGTAAATGCTATCACTGTTTTTCAAAACTATGCCTTGCAATATCTATTGTACTACCTATATTGTACATTAATGGTGTATCAGTAGGGGTTGGACTAATAGCATTTATTCGAAGTTTCTGATCTTTTAAAACAACAAGAAAAAAAAAAGCATCACGTTCCCCTTTCCCCTTCAAAAAACAGATTTTCCTAAAAAAGACACACTTTTTAGTTAAACATATAGACATGATTCCTAAGACGACTAGTTTGAAAATTCATAAAAATGACTTTCGATTTTAGAAGTTTCTTCACAATTCATGATGAATTTCTATAGATCTCCAGTAGAAAGTCCAATATCTAAATCAATGACAAAATTATTATCGAAGTAGCAATTATCGTCCCCCTATATTTGATGCTCATGTCAAGAAGTTCTTCATGCAATATACAAACAATAGTCGCACGTTGTTGTCAAAATTGGTTTTTGCATAAATTATCGAGTTCCGAACAAAACGTTTTTTTTGATAGTGTCTATTCTAATCAACTGCGTTCTCTTTTATTCTATAGATAGATGCATTTTTTTTCGGATGAGGAAAAATTTTTTGTATTCGATCCGAAATATCACAGTAATCATGGATTTTCTCCGTGTACTTCTTTCACCGAGAACTCGAAAAACCAAGATAGAAACGATTAAACTCGAGAAAATCCGAAAGAGACAACCAATAATAATGTACATCACAAAGATGACCATGAAGATATTTAAAGGATCTTTGATCGATTAAGCTTCTTGCAAGCAATAAAATGGTTTTTCAATATGCTATTTTAATGGTTAAAAGATTATAGAAAAAATAAGAACAAATGACTTTCAGCTTGGACCATTGGTTGTTATTGAGAAGTTTAGGGTTTTAGACGCATTTTACTACACAACTTGCTTCACATATCCTTCTGATTTGTGACTTGTGTAAAATCGAATAGTGGATCTTTTGTACAAATATACTTTACTTGCAAAGGATGGCAATGGAAGAATTTATCGTGAAGATTCTGAGACCATCATTTTTTCTGTCGCGCCCATTAGTTCGGTTTGAAAAGCATGTAGGAGGCTTCTGAGATTTCAGAAAGACGTATGAGTAAGGCATTTTGAATGACCAAAGCGTGCTGATTTGCTGTATTTAAATGTGATCGGCACGAATGTTTCAATCCTTTGTTTAATGTTGAAAGATTCACCAATTATTATTCGAAATCTTTTAACTATATATTCCTGACCTGCCTGCACTGTAAAAAATGAGTGGAGAATAATAAGTGCTTGCTATCCGTTTATTACCATTAGATAGACCCTTTTTAAGGTTTATGAGCATAATCTACTGCTTCATAAGCCATTGTACTGCTTTTATTCTTCATAAACCCCTTTTTGGTATATGAATGAAATCAATTCTCTGGAGAAAGATTTATCATTGCGCGTTTTGCATAAAACCGTAGAACAGTAAACTCCTGTCAAGGTTGATGAAGAAAAATGGTTTACGAAGCGGTAGATTACACTCATAAACTTTAAAAAGGATTTATCTAATGGTAATCAACGGATAGCAAGCGTTTATTACTCTCCACTAATTTTTTACAGTGTATATCTATGGATGCGGTCGTTGGTAGGATTACCATTGAAAAGAATCGCTATGTTTGATTCAAAACAAATTCTATGTAGGTAGTAGGATGGGTGTGGGTGTGTGGGTGGGAGTGTGGATGTGGGTATAGTTCTTTCTCACACTCACACTCACACCCCACACCCATACCCACACCCACACCCTTTTTTAAATTTCTATTAGCTATGTCACAACAAAAGTCAAAACGCAACTATTCAATCACCACCAACGATGAATCATTTATGACAAAGAAATGTAATTTTATTTTATTTTTCATAAAAACTGAACCATACTATCAATTCCAATATTTTCAGTAAAATTTTCCCCAAATATTAATATCAAAGTAAATCAAGAAGACTCAGACATTACATATTCAATTATCGAAACGAAAGGAATCTCAAGCTGTCATGCTATTTAAATTCATGGGCAAGAAAAAATATTCCATTTGCATATCTATTTCATTCGTCAAATGAATATGAACAATCAAGTAATAATGCTGAAAAAGTACTTGTGGAAATAATCAAAATTATCGTTGATAATATAGAGAAATATAATAAAAATCACGCAGACCAACAAATCAATATTCACGAAACAAAAATATACAGACTAATAGTTGGTGGTGGAGTAGAAGATAGAACGGACCTCATCCGAGAGGGTTTGTTGCTATTGAACACCAGCAACATCAACATCGAAGACGACCTCGACGACCGGCAATCACAATATCTCTGTCACCAATTAAAAGAAAAAATTGTTGCTATTTCGCCCATCACATCACAGTGGGCAACAGCGTGAACATTAGGTGAAAAAATGAAAGTGAGATTTTTGGTTATTTGAGCAAAATGTAGTATACTTTGGCTCATAGTCAATTACATGAAGTGAAAATTTTTGTTTCGACTGTTTGAATTCGTAAAAAGAACATTTTCAGCAATGTGAGAGAAAAAACTCGTTTTTTCACAGAAGATAGAAAGAGTTTATAAATAAATCAGTCAGATTGTGAAAGAAGAGTTTGTGTTCTATCAATTGATAAACAAAATTCTCTTTAAAGACTTTTGATTAAAAAAAATTAGCATTGTTTTCTTCGGTGAGATGTTACAGAAACATGTCTTCAGTAAAGTCAGTGCGCACACTTTAGCACAGCTCAGATTTCGATGAAATTTTCACACAACCTTCTTCCACATCTGGCGCAACTACTGTGTATGCACAAAGATGCACAAATGCTTCTGGACTGAGACATAGGGTTTTCAAAAAACTTGGTTTTTGAAGATTTTTAAAGGTTTTTCTTAACCTTCGAAGCACTTTTGGAGCAAAATAATGGCGTATTCGGAATCAGCGCAAAAAACTGCATCGAATGATATATAACTTGTTAGTGATCAAGACTAAAACTTTTTTGACAACATTTAGGGTAAGGGTCCCCTGGGGCATTTTTCGTGAAAACAAATTGTTTTGAATTTCATTTTTTTCATCAGTCGTTCTTGTGTGAGTGGTAGGAACTAATATTTTTTGGAAAAAATGCGATTTACATAGAAAATAAGTCATGTTCATGTGCTCTATGTAAATTGTCCACTGTGCACATACCTCTTGTCAGATATACAGGAGAATCAATTTAGTCAATAAATGTTTCTTTTATCCTTAACCAAAACGCACCCAAAAAAGAATCAATGCTAACACAAGTAGGTAGAATTTAATAATAACAAATAACGAATTAATAGAAACACCTTAACATTGTCCTAAAATTCAGTCACAAGTAATTTCGACACTGGTACAATTCGTCGCAATCACTTCGTCACATGATCACTTTGTCGCAGAACAAGTTGTCGCATTCTGTTCGTCGCTATCTACTTGTTACAACTCTCTTAATTAATTCTTTTTTTTCTATAACCAATCGAAATAAAATAAAATAAATGAAAAATTGAAAGAAATATGTACAATAACGATAGATAATTAAGTGTTCTAACGCATATGATATTAATTAGAAAAACGGATCAATAAAAGCTATTACTCAAATGTAATTGTGATAGAGCTAAAGCGAATGAAGAATAATTAGATTTGTCACTCGGTTCATGAATTTCAACATAATCTAGACCAAAGATAACACTGATCCAATATCCTTAATTATGGAACCAGGTCAAATAAAAGCAAAATACACTTCATTTCTCAATCTCAACTTTCACTGCAGAGTACTTTTCAAACAAAATGTCTCAAATCGAAAAACTCCTTTCTGTAAAACGAAAACCAATGATCCACAATGAAGGTTACATCTATACTGTAGAACGTACAGCAACGACAAAATTGATCTTTCGATGTCAGAAGCGAGATTGTAAAGATAGGGTCATTTTGAACATCAATCAATTAATTTAAATGAAAAATCATTTATCAATCAAGCTCGTTGTCATGCCAATTTATCCATTAACGCATTTCTTTTACCACCAACATCACATTCTCATGCTTCACCACCTGATTGTATTCCAGCTATGCAATTGAAAAATGATATTAAAGCTCGTGCTGCAACGACAGATGAATCCACCAGCTCAGTTCTTCATTCGGCCTTACGTACATATCCACTAAGTGCCGTTGGGGCACTTCCAAGAAATGAAGCACTTATGCTAATGATTCGATAACAACGTCCTGTTGACATAATCGATGTCGATGGTCGTTTACCAGAAAAATTAAGAAAGACATATCGTGATGAAGACTTCATCTTGCACGAAGACAAGAATTTAATTATCTTTACAACGAAAACTAATCTGTCTATTCTGAAACAAAACAAACATTGGTTCGCTGATGGAACGTTCAAAGTAAACTATCAATGACATGTGTGTCTTTTTTCTCTAATTTTCTTTGATGTAGGTATGTCGCGACGATTATTATCAACTCTTCACATTATACATGCGATGATGACTAATGCAATTATTCCACTCGTCTATTAGTTATTAATTGGTAAAAGCACTGAAGATTACAATTTCTTCTTTGAAAAAGTGTTAGAACAAGACGACTTCCATCCTGAATCAATTATGACTGATTTCGAAACTGATACAATCAAATTAGTCAAAGACATGTTGCCAAATGTTTTACACAAAGGCATGTTCTAGTCTAATTTTAAAAAAAATAATTAAAACGTTTGTTATAGGATGTCTCTTTCATTTTTCACAAGCAATATGGCGGCAAGTTCAAAACAAAGGATTGACATCCAAGTATAGAGAAGATGAGTGTTTTTGTTTACATGTAAAAAAATTAATTGCTCTTGCCTTTGTTTCAGTAGATGAAGTTACAATTGGCTTTGACTTAATTGCCGATCCATTCGACGATGACGCCGAGGATTTATTTGATTATTTTGAAAGAACATAGATTGGTGAACCAAAAAGAAGAGGTAATTTTTTTCTTCATTCTTGAGAAATTTGAAATGTACTCGACCTTCTTAGGAACTGGTCGAAAGAAGCCTCAATTTGATCATAAATTATGGAATATTCATTATCGTGTCGTTGCTACTGTACGTCGATCCAACAACTCGGTGGAAGGCTGATACAATGCACTTGCCAATCGTGTCGCCATAAATCATCCAAATATCGTGAAGCTGGCAGACAAAATTCGTCGAGAACAATCGAAATTCGAAGTGGATATGACGAAGATTCTCCAAGGTCATGATATCAAGACAAAGAAAGCCTGTTATAGAAGATTGGACGAACATATTACTCGGCTGGTCAACGCATTCGACTCATTTCAACTGGATCGATTCTTAAAAAATATAGCAGCTAACATTACTCTTTAGGATATTTTTTTCTTAAAATTATTTTGTTTTTCTTTTTTTTTTTGTTCTCAATTTGTTCATCATTATGTTATGTATAATGCATACAATAAAGATAAATTAATTAATCAATTTCACATTTTTGAAAAAAAATTAATTAAGAGAGATGCAACGAATAGATAGCGATGAGTATAGCGAAAGAATTTTTCTGTGAGCACAGAAAGAAAGAAATTTTTCTGCCACGAATTGGTCATGCGACGAAGTGATCGGTCACCAATAATTTTTGCAAATACTAATTATTTGTTGATTCTGAATATTAATTTCATTCACAGAAGTTGCTTGACCTCTTTGATAACGTCGGCAACAGACCTCGAAATTGAGCCACTTTTTGAGGGCCCGGTTCGACCCATACCGACTCAAGACTTACTCATGCTCGGTCTGCCAGACTCCGAATGACACTATTATAATTTTCTTTCTTTTACAAAAAAAGATTTGTACATGATGAAACTCATGATCACTGGAATAATTTGTCAGATCATTGTAAACAGTTTATTATTTATCACGATGGCCTCGAGTTGAGTAAAGCTTAGACAACTTTAAAGCTTGAAAAAAAACAGCTTGAGAGATAAGCTGAACTGCTTATTCAATCGAAGAAGTAAGACGCGTTTGTTGGTACTCCAACTTCTGGAATACTATCACTTATTAGCAAGAATTTTGTACAAGTAAAATGTCCACTGGTCAATTTCAAAGAGTCAGATAGATTACTATTTCTAGTTATACTGTTAGTTTTACTATATATTGAACACTGTTCCACTTCAATAATGTTCATGCTGCTTAATGTAGTTGATAGTTCACTCGACTTTGTGTGTGGTTGAGTAGTGCCATCGAACTGAATAAATGCTTTGTTTTCATTTATTGCCTAAATGAAATTTTCAAAACGTTCGCATAATAAAGCTTTCTGATTGTTAGCAGTTACCAGATGTACAGGCTATTGTAGAAAATTTTGATAAAAAAATCAGAATAAAATTAGTTATTTTTTTGTTAAAAATCGATTCAAGTGCTGCTGTTTAACCCTCACTGAAATTCCAATTCTAAGCTTTTTAAAAATGGATTTCAATTGATTATAGTCTTTTTAATCGATCAATAAAGTCTTATCGATTAAAATCAAATGGAACCAATCTTTAAAGCTAATAAGTCAGGCTTTAATAGGAATTAAATAGTATAATTTTAATCGATACTTCTTCATAAAATAATCGATTCTAATCTAATTTATCGAGGTTTTTTCTTACATGAGCCAATATTAATTGATATCCTATTTCAACGCCTGGTACGTCTAGCAGAGTGTAATCTAGTATGATACTTACGATTTGCTGAACTGAGGAGTTCGATAAAACGACCAAAAGTTTGAGTTTCTAACTTAAAACTCGAGAAAAATCCGTTTTACGATCACTGCCATGTAAATCGATTAAAAGTCAAATAATCTAATTTTAATCAAATGATAATAGTTCCATTTTAATTGATTTTTAGCAAGAAGAAAGTTGATTAGAATCAGATTTTTTTCTTACGTGGAAAATCTTCCTTACAAAAAACAAGTAAAGTTCGACCCGAACTTGATAAGACTCATTTCTATAGAATGATTAAGAGATAAATCGAACGGAAAAATACTTAACATCTAGAAACTGATTAACTTTCTATACTGAAAAATTACTTTGCTCAGGTGCTTTCATTGAGCGGAGTAACAATAGTAAAAGAAAATAAGCGCATTTTTTTGCTTTTGAAACACCTTATTATCCAGTATTGATTAAATAGATAGTAAATCAATCTAGGAGATTTGCATCGATCTAATCCTATTTGAGGAATTCAAAAATTCCCAGTTCGTTTAATCTTTAGTCCCAGAGCTTCTGAAAAACATCTGATAACAGAGCGAAAAATATGATCTTTTGAGTTCGAATGTGTTTTATATTAATGAGAAACGACTACTGTATCACGTTCATCAATGCAATTTCATTTGATAGCTTTCATCCCAAATTCAATTGGCAGAAGATTTGAAAAATTAGCAGATTGAGACTATACATATAAGAGAAAATACATGGATTTTGATTCACAATGCAAATTTTCATATATCAATAAACAATACCATAATTGAAATTAACAATTAATTCATGTATTTGTTTTAATAATAAGAAAAATTTTGAAAATAAATTTTCTTGTTTAATTTTCAATCTTTGTCATGCGATCATGTTCAGCAATGATAGTTTTTTAATATTGCAATGTTCGTTTATGAAAATATTTAATGATAAATTTAATTCAAATTTCGACAATCACCAATAGAAATTACAAATAATTACAAGAGATTGCATAAAAGAAGATAAATTATTAAAAATATTTTCATTTAATATTATCAAAATTAAATATTTCAAGTCGAGTAAAATTTCATTTGATTCAACTGAAAAAACATTAACATTGACAACGAATAAATTTGATAAACATAATTATGTAATTCGATGTGTAAATTCATTTTCGACAAAGATAAAATACTTATTTTTAGACAAATAATTAAATTAACCAAAAGGCTTTGTAAACTTATATTGAGTTTGTAAAATAATTCATATGGATTGGTAAATATCAGGGTTGTTGAAAGTTTCACTAGAAAAATCTTCCAAAAGCCTGACAGATTTTCTTGATGAGGTAAAAGAAAATTATGAAATTTAGTAAAAAGAAAAAATATTCTGTTTTCATTGACTTTTTCGTTTCTTCCATGAGTTCTCAACAGCCGAGAGTAGTTTTCTTGACGATAAGATAAAATAGATCACTAGAATAGAGATTTTTTACATCTATTATGATCATATTAAAGTTTAAAAAAACGATCAACTTTGTATCTACTATAGTTACACAATATCGGTTGGAAGAGATTTTCGGTCTTAATATTATGAATCTATCATTTTTTTTATNAAATGTCCACTGTGCTAAAAAAAAGACGCATATTGTACTGATAATGAAAGGATCATGTTTTAATATGCCATGAACTAAAGATTCTAGGATCGGTAGGAAGATTATAAGTGAATTTTTCTGTCTGTCTGAAACACATTTTTTAACTACTATGCAACTGGTTATGTATAATTATTCTATTTTTTCCGATTTTCTGGATCCTTTTAGATCTTAATTTTTAAATGTTGGTTGCCTCTACATATTTGATTTCAAATTGATTGTTGGGTAACTATTAATTCTTCGCCTCTTGAAATTTGCAATTGATACGTGTTTTTCTGCCTGACCACTTTCCATCATGAGCTCACTCGAAATCCGCACGTTCAAAGGATCCGCACTAATTCAGTCTAGTGCCAAATGAATTGATACTGAATAAACATTGCTATGAAAACAAGCGAGTCGAATATGGACTCTATCGAAAAAGTTGTCAGCGCCATCCTTACAGGATTATAATGCAAAATAAGATGGAGTCAGTTTATCTATAATGAACAAATTTCACCAAGTCTGCCATTCTCTCTATGGAATCCAAACACCAGCATGTCGAAAAACTCCTCTAGAGTTGCAGAGATTGTGACAAACACGTTCACAGGTATTTTTTGGATTTGCTAGGCCATGCAATTTATATTTTAAAATGATTATTTGTTCGAATATCGATTTATTTCAATACATGCTTTGGGTCGAAACGTTCAAAATACTGTGTGTGTGAGCCAGATGAGGACAGAGAGATTGTATCAGTTTTCGCACTATAGGCTTCAACAATCATTTCCAATCATTTTTTTCAAACTTGAATTTTACTCAGAATTTATATTATTCGTCTCAATATCGGATCCGTCAATATCTAATATTATCCAGAGCAGTGACGTCATTTTTGAACGCCTTTGAAGGACATAC